GCGATGGTGGCATTGTTACAGGTGCTGGAGGAGGAGGGTGAACTGGAACCCTAGGACTTGTAGTGGTAGGCTCAGGTGGTGGTGGTCCTTCTTCAACTATTTCAGGGGGGCTAGCAACTGGTTTTGGAGTTTCTGAAACCGGCTCTGGAGATGGTTATGGTGTATGAGTTTCTTTGGGTGGTTCCTCCTTGGGAGGCTGCTCTTTGGGTGGCTCCTCTTTGGGAGGTGCTTCCTTTAGTGACTCTTTTTTGGGAGGTTGTTCTTTGGGTGGTTCCTCCTTGGGAGGTTCTTCCTTTGGTGGTTGCTCTTTAGGAGGTTCTTCCTTTGGTGGCTGCTCCTTGGGTGGTTCTTCCTTTGGTGGCTCCTCCTTGAGGGGTTCTTCCTTTGGTGGTTGCTCTTTGGGAGGTTCTTCCTTTGGTGGCACCTCCTTGGGTGGTTCTTCCTTTGGTGGCTCCTCCTTGGGAGGTTCTTCCTTTGGTGGCTCCTCTTTAGGAGGTTCTTCCTTTGGTGGCTCCTCCTTGGGTGGTTTCTTCCTTTGGTGGCTCCTCTTTGGGAGGTTCTTCCTTTGGTGACTCCTCCTTGGGTGACTCCTCCTTAGGTGGTTCCTCCTGTGGTGGCTCCTCCTTGGGAGGTTCTTCCTTTGGTGGCTCCTCTTTGGGAGATTGTTCCTTGGGTGGTTGCTCCTTGGGAGGTTATTCCTTGGGTGGCTCCTCTTTTGGAGATTCTTCCTTTGGTGGCTCATCTTTGGGGGGTTGTTCCTTTGGTGGTTCCTCCTTGGGAGGTTCTTCTTTAGGGGGTTGTGGTTTGGGTGTAGAAGGTGTTGGAACTGATTCCGGTGATGGTTTTGGTGGTTGTTGCTTAGGTTGTGGAGGAGGTTGTTGTTTGGGTTGTTTTGGTTTTGATGGTTTTGATGGTTTTGATGTCTAAACTGAGTTTTTCTTGTGAAAACTTTTGAGTAGTTTGCATAAGTCGCTCTCTCTTCTGAAAGTGTTCAGAAAGATTTGTTTTGAGTCTTGTTTTAGTTTCTGTTTTGCTCGAGGACTAGCAAAAGATAAGTTTGGGAAGTTTGTTCGGTTCATTTTTACACATGATTTATCATGTTATTCACCTAATATTTTGAGTTAGTTCTTGACATTTTATAGCTTTTTACTTCCTTTTTGTGTTTTCATAGGTTTTACCTTGGTTAGAATGAAAATGAGCTAAAAGTGTATTATTGGTTATAAATTCTGATTTTGTTCATTTTCGTAGGTCAACTTCTTGGCCTTGGATCAGCATGCTCTGGTGCTCGGATGAGGTGAAGATCTTCATGAAACTTGTTCCAATGGATGTTAACTACAACATATCCAAATTTGAGCTCCATTGGACAAGTATAGCCTATCCAACTGATCCTACATGTTACAGCAGCTCTAGAGATTTGTCTTGGGCCAGTTTTTACCTCCATAGTGTCATCTTGATTCTTCTTGTTACCATACCATTTGGTAACACGAAATTGCTTTGGTTGAGAGATATTTTCTGAAACAATGAGCATCTTTGTGAAGACAAGAACAAAAGAACCCTATCATGGCAAGGAGACAAAGCTTGAAGCTTTAACAAAAGGTGGAGTTTTATATATTAAAAGTGAGCTAGAAAGTAAGGAGGAAATGATGGGCAAAGGATAATGAATGTGCAATTTGCAATTCATTCTATCATTATTCAACTTTGCAGAGATTTTTGAGAGCTTGGAGCTAGAGAGCTCAAAGAGGAAGAAAAGGGCAACCAAGCAAAGTGTGGAAGATATTTTCCACCATTGAAGACCTTGAGCTTTCATCACTTTCACAAAATCTGTAAACTCTTTCTAGTTTTGTTTTGAGTTTGTATTTGAAATAAGTATGAGCAACTAAACTCCATATCTACGGCTTAGGTTGAAGCCCTAAACATGAATGCCTTATTGTTTTGATGCTTGAGTGTATGAATTTCTAGATATTGTTGATGAATTCCCATTCACTAAATTAATCTATCCTTGATGTATATTTTTGTTTGTGCCTGATAAATCACGGCCATGAGCTGGCCGAAGGAGCCCTTTCTCTCGGCCCTGGCACTTGTTCGCAGAAACTGAAACGCAGCGTTTCGCCAGGGTATTTCGCCTTCCTAAAAATAAAAGAGGAAATGCTAAGGCATGATCATCTCGGCCTCAAGCGTTGGCCGAGGCCGAGGCCGAACAAAATTGCGGCCAAGGCATTAAAGGCAAATCATCACGTGACAGCAGGGTCCCAGGCTTCATTTAATGAAGTAGTGCCTGTTTAATGCAGCAAACCCATTGGCCACAAAGAAGCATTTAATGCATGAGGAAAGGTGGGAAGTGACTGAAGTCAGGATTTGGTGATG